ATCAGACTATCACCCACACTCACTCATTCACTCAGACACTCATTCACTCACCCACGTTCACTCAGCAGTGCCTGAAATGAGGGCCAGCCGAAGGCCGAATTTTTTTTTGGGCCAGTAAAAATTTTGAGCCACTGGCCCAAATATTTTTACAATTTTTCATATTATACTTCGCTGTCAGCCTACTGTCTACACTCTACAGTCTACAGTCAGGTGCTGTTGAGGGTATATAATTTAAATTGTTACATTGTTACCCCCCTCCCAATTTTCTCAACGAATTTAGACGTTTCACAAAATCGACCCCTGGGACTGTCAAATCCGCGGAATTCCGCGGATCCGCGGAAGAATCTCATCCCTGCATATAAAAAATTAACCTTGGGGACAAAATTAACCTTGGCTGCCGCAGGCAGGCCCGCGTGCCGTAGGCATGCCAGTGCTAGGGGGGTCTGGGGCATGCCCCCCCCCCAGAAAATTTTGAAATATTTAAGCCATTTTCCTGCAATCTGAGGCATACCGTGGGCCATATTCTCATGTCTGATGACACTATCTCAACCCTAGACTCAACCCTACAAGTTAGGATTCAAAACACTTTTCATGACTTTTCAGAGAGCGTACACAGTTAGGTTACTATAGTAATAATACATGTATTAAAACACAGGTAAGAATTGCAATTTCTCACCATTTCACGTGTTTTTGTATGTTTGCAACCATACTTTTTGGCTATTTGTGAGTCTGGAAACATTTTCTTGAAGAGTTCATTTGCATGGTCTGCCACCCTCAAAGGCACATTGTGTTCAATTAAATAATCCGTAAATCTCACTTCTGCGTCAAGACAGACAATTCTCTATCTGCTGCAAAGAAGCTTGAGATATTGGGTGTAGATTCCACTGCACCCGCATAGCACTTATGCTTTTGAGAGTCAATATGCCTCTGGCAGTCACTCTTTCCTCCGTGCCCCACTAGAAAGTCTATCTTACATAACATGCAATAGCCATGATTAACACTGAGTTTCGACTTCACAAGTACAGGCCACATCTGTGTATATTCGTTCCTGAATTTCTGTGAAAGTCGGGGTTTTTTGGATGGCAATGTGGACGCCATTCTCCCCACGTGTTAAACTGATTACAGGGTTAGACACTAACCATTTTAGTTCATTAGTCCACAGGACTAGTAAAAGAAAAAATCTACTAGTCCTTCCAAGATTCTACTAGTCCTGCCGAAG